GAGGAGAGGATGTAGGACTCGGGAGCTATAATAGGTTTGGTAACCAGGCTATACAAATATGGGTCATAATAGATATTTTTTTTCTGTCTACCACAGATAAAAATTTAACTTAGTAATACTATATACATTCATCCTTTGTCAAGTTAAAACAATCATGATTTCCGAAATTCAATGAATATTATCATTCCTGTATAATAAGTCAAAAGAGTATTAAACAGACAATAACGTTTTATTCATGTATGCAGAGAAATCCATGTGTTTAAAAGTCCTATCATGGCCTGGAATGCAACTAACATATGGACTTTCCTCATTAATTTTGCAAATTAGCTGATTCAGTATTTTTTTTTTATCCTGTTGAAAAACCAACATACGCTGGTTAAAATATCACCTCCTTGGTAATTATTGACAACAAATTAGAGCATCGCCCCTCCCCTTCCACACCCTCCAGACTGTACACATGGCCAGAAGAGGGGGAGGGGGGCTGTTGCGAAAATACCTTATTTCAACCCAATAACAACGTCGATCGCGGTAACACTGGATCAAACCAGAAGCTTATCTCTCACCTCGCCCTTCTGTGCTGCCATTTTCTCCTGTTTGGCCTGGAACTTCTCCATCTTCGCCCTTTGTTTCGCCTCTTTCTTCAGTTGTGCCTCGGTCTTCTGCACAGCCGGTTCCCCGCCGGCCGCCGCGGTGGTGGCAGCCGCCGCGCTAGCCGCTCCTTCGGGCCCGTTCTCCATTCTTCCCGACGTCGTGAGGTGGCTCGTAAGTTGCAAAACCCTCGGAAGTTTCCCCAGAATCGCCCTAGTCTGTGTAAAGACGACGCTTGTGCAGTGTTGCATGCGGAAGACCGGATCTTCCTTGCTTTCGCTGATCTTGCTCACACGGCTGCGGGTATTGCATCATGGGATGGGGGCGTGACGTCATGCTCCGATAGTATTGCACCATCTCTGACAAATCGATAACAGATAAACTTAATCTCCAAGCAGATGTTTAGGTGGCCGCAAAAGACAGTATCTTTGATCAAATTGGCCAGGCAGTATCCATTGGCCAGACTGTATCCTTTGTGTGGCAAATGGATACAGTCTGTCCAATTTGATAATGAAGTTAGTAACGGGGGGCCCTAATTCCGACCTATGTTCCATGCAAACGCACATACCTTTGGTAATAGTTTATCTGACCAAAAACCCGCGCAACATGAGCTATAATATTGACAGATTAAGATCACAACGATTAAAGCTGCACAGCTGTGTATTTCACTTGAGTGTAGCGCCTTGCACCCAAGCATAATGGTTTGCGAAACGCACGGCAGTTTTTTTGTCATTTTGCCGGTGGAACGTTCTATCGCAACAGGGGTGCCCTAATTCCGACCCAGTGTTTAACACAGGTCGATCTGAGTAGAGAGTTTAGAAATTATAATACACAAATTATGATTAAAACAATCTACAACTGTTTTTCTGTCCCAAACCTGCATTTTTGACACGCTCGTCAACCCCCGAACAAGCGTCGAATTCACACAGATTTTTCACTCGTCTGTTGTCGGAGTGTACAAACTAAAACAAACTTTGTGAGATTACCGATATCAACACAAAAACTTTGTCCATTTCTTGTGGTTATTTTTAGGCACGTGCTTCCATGCATAACGTCGCAACAAGGATTTTTCAAACTAGTTCGGTATTAGGGATGGGTCGGAATTAGGGCACCCCCCGTTAGTGACCTAGTAGCTTTCGTCATTAACTCGTCTTAACTTGTTATAAGGAAGGAAAATAATCTAAAGGCCCTCTTATAAGCTCTACACTCCCTTTTGGAATTTTCTTCGGCTTTCTTCTACCATCTGTATAAACAGGGCATCAAACTACCGCCCCATCTCCCTCACCAGCGTTCCCGCTAAAATCCTAGAACATGTCCTAGTTAGTTCCATCATGCACCACTTGGAATCAAACAACATCCTGTCTACACAGCAACATGGCTTTCGCAAACACCGTTCCTGCGAGACCCAACTCCTTGAATTCACAGAAGAGGTCTTTTCAGCAATGGAGAACGGTGTTACGACTGACGTAATCATTATGGATTTCGCGAAAGCGTTCGACCGCGTAAACCATAGTCTACTTGTGCACAAGTTGGATTACTACGGGATTCGCGGCAACACAAACAGGTGGATAGGAAGCTTCCTTAGCGACCGCCGGCAGGCTGTGGTAGTCAGCGGCACCCAGTCAAGCTACGTGAGTGTGCGATCGGGCGTCCCACAGGGCACGGTGATAGGTCCAAGTCTCTTCATTGTGTACATTAACGATCTACCGCAGAGGATCTCGTCCCCCTCCCGACTATTCGCGGACGACACCGCTGTGTACCGGCTGATCACCTCTCCCAAAGACCCCCCAAAGCTTCAAGAGGATCTCAACAAGCTGGAGGACTGGGAGAGGGAGTGGGACATGTCCTTTCACCCAGACAAGTGTTACCAGCTACCCCTGACGAGAGCTAGAAAACCACCGATCGCAAATCCCAGCTACACCCTCCATGGTCACACACTAGCACGAGTATCCTCTAACAAGTACCTGGGTGTTACGCTTCAGACAGACCTTTCCTGGCGCATGCACATCGACAATACATACTCCAAGGCCAACAGGACATTGGGCTTCTTAAGGCGAAATCTTAGAGTGTGCTCCACCAAAACCAAAGAGCTTGCATATAAAGCCTTGGTCCGCCCAATTGTGGAGTATGCCTGTTGTGTATGGGACCCCTACACCGACGCTGACACAAATAAGATCGAGAAAATCCAACGAAGGGCAGCACGCTTCGTTCTGAACAGACACCGAAACACCTCTAGTGTCTCTGACATGTTGGATGAGTTACAGTGGGCTTCTCTCCAAGGCCGCCGCCGTACCACCAGACTCGCCATGATGTACAAGATCCAGCATGACCTTGCATGTGTGAGATGCGACGCCTTGAAGCCCGTGTCTGGCAGCAGGAGAAGCCGGAGAGGCCACAGTCAACAGCTCCAGGACATAACTTGCCGCACGAACTACAAACACTATTCCTTTCTTCCTCGCACTATCCGCGATTGGAACGTCCTGCCCACAGACACTGTCCAATCCCCGTCTTTGGCCACCTTTGTCTCGAGGGTGTCCAGTCCGGTCTAGACTCAGTCACGCTGGTGACCTTCGACCCGAGACATGTCAATTATTGCCGGTATCGGCAGTTGGACATTACCGGAAGAAGAAGAAGAAGAACGTCAGTGGTGGTGGAATGGTGTGTAAAAATATTTATAAACTGGCAAAGTAAGTTTTTTCACTTATGAGTAATTCAAGTGTGCCGACAAAGTCAAACTTCTTAAATGGAATTTGACAGCATCATTCTGTCAACCTTGCAATATCAAAATATTTTGGATACTTCGATACTTTGATACTCCATTACTTTTGCAATATTGACAGAATGATCCTGTCTATAGTATACATTTTCCCATCAATAGTACCTGTAACGTTACCACTATTTTATGTTATTGACAGGATGATCATTTTCCCACTATTGACAGGATCATCCAACGATATTTTACGACACTCAGGTAAGTCCTCCTGCCGGTTTGCGGCAGCGGGGGTTACGCAAGTGACCCAACATGGCCGCCAGCGTGTGGAACTCATGTCGTAGTGTCGGACAAAAGTTCGTTTTCGCGCCGCTTCTGCGGAACTGCTCGCAATGCGGCGTCTCCCAGAGCTCCAAGACAACCCTGAGACCACTCAGAGATGCGGGGATCCAGAGAAGAGAGCTTTCTTCGCACGCAAATAGCAGTAGAACCGGCGGCCGGTGGTTGAGTGTTGGGTTGGGTGTTGCAGGTTTGACAGCCATGTCAGGGGCCGGTTATGTCACGTACAGATACAGACAGGCGATGTCTACTACTGCTGAGGGACCGGTGACAACAGCACAGGTTAGTAAACCTGCTCAGTCGGCTACATTTGTCTCTTATGAGTGTAGTTCTGTTGTTAATTACCGTTCATAATCACACGTCAAACGAAAGACATTCAATTTGATACATAGTTATTACATACAATTAAAATCGTGTTTAAACTGATATATAATTACATGTCACAGGTAACGTTACATATTTACAACAACATGAAATTGTAAACGTGACATGTAATTGATTTGATGTAAATTAGCTTCTTAGACGTGTTACTTCTTAGTTAGAACTGTTAATACTGTTATATACATGTTAGCAATAATGACTACTATAAAATGTATGTAACATTATGTATATGTTGCCATTCGTTGTATCTACTACCATTGTCATGAAAAAGAAGCCGAAGCCTAAACCTCTGCTTGGACCTGGAGATTATGTCTTTGTCCTCCCTCCTGTTGCAGTTCCAGAGTTCACCTGACCTCCCTTCCCCTCCTGAATCACTTGTAGTACACCTAACCTATGAACATCTAAGTCTAACAATAATGCCCCTGAGCCTATTTATTGTCATGCAATAAAGTTCTTCTCCCTCCTGTTGCAGTGCCAGAGTTCGCCTGACTTTCCTTCCCCTCCTGAATCACTTGTAGTACACCTAACCTATGAACATCTAAGTCTAATGATAATGCCCCTTAGTCTATATATTGTCATGCAACAAAGTTCTTCTCCCTCCTGTTGCAGTGCCAGAGTTCGCCTGACCTGCCCCCCATGAAGGTGACCCTGTACCAGTACCTGACCTGCCCGTTCTGCTGCAAGACTCGCGCCTTCCTGGAGTACTACGGCATCGACTTCCAGGTCGTGGAGGTTAACCCCCTCTCCAGGAGGGAGATCAGCTGGTCAGACTACAAGAAGGTCCCCATCGTGATCGTCGAGATGGATGGGAAGGATGAGAAACAGGTACGGGAAACTCGGGATAACTGTGATGCATGGTTGAGGAAATGTTCTCATGCCTCTTTGCTGTGAGCACTTTTTAAATTTAGAAGAATAAGAATGCATAGTTTTGTTCCCATTGCCAAATGTGCTTATTGTACTGCATGTATAGATCTGAAAGCCATTTAGTGATTCTAGCTTTGAATACCGCTATGTAAGAACACAGAGGTGTTGTCTGACATAAATTCAGCACTTTTATGACTCCATTTAAGACATAGAAATGTTACTATTGCCAAAGGTGCTGTAGTTGAATATCTGACAGTAAAAGTCACTCTAGGTTGAAATTAAAGCTTTGAATATCTGAACGAAATGGGAATGTTGTCTGACACAAGTTCCTGCTTTCTTCAGCAACTCAACGACTCGTCAGTGATCATCAGTGTGTTAAAGACGTTCATGGTGAACACACACAAGGACCTGGACAAGGTGGTGAGCTACTACCCGGTCATGGTGACCCAGGACACAGACGGGAAGGAAGTGAGGGAGATCGCCAACAGGCACTGGGTCATGGTGGACCTGGAGACCATGAGTGAGGAGTACGGCAAGAGGAGAAGGTGGCAATTAGACAGCATTTTGGCAGAATGCACTGTGCCTTTGCAAAACCTATAATGTATTGTGCATAGCATTTCGGCACAGCATGTCATTTGAGGTTGTACTTAAGGATGACATCCTCTCTATAGTTTTCAAATGTCGAGTCCGAAAAGATATTGTCTGCGTTACAGTGAAAATTCTGATGCAACTGTGGCACTGACCAAACATCCAACCAAAACGGAAAAATCTAGGTTTCCCACAGGCAAGGTACATTGAGTGCTGTTTGTAGTATACAATATATAATTGGCTGAACTGGTTTGACAGATAACCTTTATTGTACATTCATGCCCTGTTGGGCTAAGTACAGGTGAACAGATGAAAAAGTATATACATCTTTGTAGTACAAACAGGACTACTGACACTAATCTAACTACATCAGCTCTTGAAGTACTCTAAGACAGGTTCAGCTTCTTCTTGTTTCTTTGTGATATTAAAAATATAATTTGAAATGGGTTTGTTCACAATAACTAAAGTTCACTTCCTCTCCTTCCTACAGGTCGGAGGTAAAGTGGAGAAAGTGGGTGGACGACCATTTTGTCCACATGTTGGCTCCCAACATCTACCGGTCCCAGGCCGAGGCCCTGCAGGCATTTGAATACATTACGAACGTACAGAACTTTGGGCCCTGGGAGAAGTGGGCAGCAAAGTACGGGGGGTCTGCCATCATGTGGACCATCGCTAAAAGACTGAAGAGCAAGTAAGTGCTGAATATCGGTATAGCCGGTATAACCGCCCTTCGGCGTAACACTCCCGCGAATACAGGATTTATTGGTGAAAGTACAGGTAGATTAATTTACATTGTACAGCAAATGGTATAATTTCTACAAGACAACTTTCCTACTTTTAGTTAGATATCTGAATAGGAAATAAATGTTTATATTCCTCACACAACCAGATTCACCTGTTCTTAAACTTTCAGTGAGAAGTTTAAAATGTACATACTAGTATGCATTAGATATTGTAGATGTAGATATAAGTGACATGTTAACAGAGCAGACAAACAAGACGAGTTGGAGAAAACTGTCAGACCATCTGTGGTGCCTGAACGTTCAAATATAAAGGAAATATGAGAAAAGATGAGGAAGGTCTTTCACTCGCTCATTCATTCGTTCATTCATTCATTCATTCATCCATCATTCACTCACTCCTTCAAACCTACCTGTAACATGATCTCCCCCTAGATACCAGCTGAAGGACGATGTCCGAGAGTCGCTGTACGACGCGGCTAACGAGTGGCTGAAGGGTGTCGGCAAGAAGAAGTTCATGGGGGGCAGCCAGCCCAACCTCGCAGATCTGGTCAGTCCTTTTTTTATGTTTGTTTCGCATAGCCAGTAAACCACCTGTTAAGGCATAACACGCCAGTTTTGTACATGTAAGTACAAGCTGCGTATGACCAGACCGTAAGCTAAAGGTTTGAACCACCGCACTCATCTCTTTTTGATGAGTGTGGCAGACTTTAGAACATGTTTGAGGTGTGCATCCCCTCAAACATAGGACCTTTAGCTAAATATATCCTTTCTGGGAGGACGTCTCTACCCAAAGCTAGGCACTTCTCATCTGAATTGAATGAGGAAATAGGTGTTAACTGCATTTCCCAAGTACACAACAACAGTAGGATCTCTCGAATGCAAATATGTGTTCCCAAATCCCAGTGTATAAATACTGTACCACAGAATTGTTTCAACCACAAACTTCTGCTCTTGTCACATTTCTCAAGTTAAGGCCACACCAATTTAATTTGTTGGTTCTCGGATTCGCCTCTTCGTTTTTTTCTGATTTGCAAAAAAAAAAAATTTGATTCTGGTCCTGAATCAGCTGAAAAATGCTCATGTTTTGCCCCCCAACAGTTGAGGAAAGTCCTTTTCTTCCTAGTTGTTACAGTTTTTCCATCTATCATTGCAGTGGTTTGATTAAAAGTTCAAAATTCAATGTTTAAATTTTAACCCAGCCTTTTGTGTTGACTTCATGGCTCATTTGGTAGCATTTAAGCCTATAATAGGATGCCTAGACCTGTTTTTATTTATTTTTTTTTTTCGCCCTGTCGCTTCATATTTTTTCTGAAAAAATCCGAGAACCAACAAATTAAATTGGTGTGGCCTAAGTACATGTATAAGTAATGGGATCACTGTTGACATACTAGTACATGTACATGATTACATGCAGATTTTACTGATGGAAAACAAATGTTTTTGTCATGTCTTTTTCATGTTCTTTTCACTCTCACTGAAAGCGACCCTTTTCTTTTCTTTTGGTCTCACAGGCAGTTTATGGAGTACTGAGCAGCATCGAAGACTTTGATACCTTCAAAGACTTGATGGAAAACACCAAGATGAGACCTTGGTACGAGCGTACGAAGAAGGCTGTGAAGAGTCATGCAGGAGCAAACACAACACATGTGCACGCACCGTGAGAGAGAGAAAGACAGATGCTATGTACAGTAACCATATTAAAGTACTGGAGAAATTCCCCTAGCATAATGAAAATGCGTAGAGCGAAGGGTTGGCCTTTACAATAAAACTATTGAAATAAACCTGAATGATACTGAACATATACCTAACTGAACATGTACTGCAGTGCTGTTTTCAGGTGCCACTTCCAAGATGACAGACTGATCTGATCATTATGCGATAAAAGTCAATTGCAATACACTGTAACACAAGGGAAAGGAGTAACTCAATGGTTGACTCTGACCCCCGTGATCGGACTTGCACAGCGTGTCAGCTCATACCAGTTCACCAACCGATTAGGCCAAAAGGTCCAGGACCCATTGGGCCGGGCAGTTGGTGATGCTATATACTCGCTGTTCTAACATTGCTAACTACTGGATCAGCAATTTTCCTTCATGTTGAGATAGATTACGCATGTTTTTAAGGCTCATTGAACAATGTACAACTATGAAATAAGAGGAACGAGATATGTACAGCTCTGCATGCAGAAAATGATGTGTATAGTGTAGCTCTTTCCAATTCTCAGGTTGACTTGTGATTCTCCATAGTAGCAGGGAGGTTGAATTTGCTTATCTTTGAGGGCTGAATGTCACATGTACATGTCAGAGTGTTGCATAAAGTTTGTTTTTTTAATATCGTTGTGTTGTGGACTCCTTCAGTCTTAGTGGATCCATCATACATACATTCTTACATCATTGTCTAAGTACTCTGAGACCTTGTATTAAACTTAACGCTTTAATAGGAAAGAAGATTCCCTTTCAAACCATTGTCAAACCGCGCGACGAACCCTAGAATGTTTTAAACATTTTGAAACTATCGGCTGGCACAGCCGAATAGTACCCGAATCCGCCGAACACCAGCCGACTTGGTGCCAAGCTACTCCCAACCATGGCTGGGTGCGTTCGGCTAGTGTTCGGGAGGCCAAATTTCTGAATGTGTGACGCACGGATGGACTATGCTATTAGCATCTAGGGGTGTTCATGCTTCATTACTGAAGTAACACTGCGCACACCTTTGATGATTTAATTCATGTAATCTGCCGACGTACGTAAGAACCAGACAATCGTTGTGGGCGTAAAACATAACACTCGGAGAAAAAAAGGAAACAAATTGTGTTGAACGTTACGTTTGATACGATAATTTTGGGTCAACAAACTGCCGATTACGCTAGTAGGATGGAAGAAAACGTCTACAAGGAGGCCTGTAGGGTCTACAACTCCAGCAACGGGGAGGCCAGTAATGACTACGAGGAGGCCTGTACGGTCTCTCCGCCGAAGGTCTCTCCGCCGAGGATAGGGAAGGCTCCTGGCCCGAACCCAGCACCAAGTATGTCAGGGGTTTCAGGAGAGCCAGGTGAGGTTCTCTGTATTGTCAAAATAATCCAGAAGGAAAGAAGAGTTTTTACAGATCCGAGAGACGGTAAGAGATTAAGTCTGCATAATATAAAACAAGGCAGAAATTTTGTCGACTTTCCTATTCCATAAGCGATACTAAATCATCAGATCAATACATGACCATATTGAATGAATGAATGAAAGACCTTTGTTGTACGTTTGTGCTCTAACAAGCTAAGAACAGGTCATGAATAAACAGGGGAAAAGAATACAGCAATAACACTTAAACTATACATACTGTACATCCTTTAGGTTCGTCCGAGTCTAACGACAAGCGCCAAGCCGCCGACCCCGGACCTGCCTCTGCTGAGACCGCTGGGTTCGGTATGAGCAGCCCTGGTCAGTCCCGAGTCTGGACCAGCGCCATGTTGAAAACCTACGCTGTGGTGACAATGGTCCTGATTTGCTGTCTGCTGGGAGTTACCATCTTTCTGGGTATATGACTTATTTTCCAAAATTGGCTGGTAGAAAATGATAGAGAAGGAACCTTATTTAACTGATATTTTCGGTTCTCTTTCCTATATTTTCTATATTTTCTACCTTACACACAGTCCTTGTGTCTTCACACAGCTGTGACGGTGTCTGACCTGAAGCTAACAGTCAGGAAGCTCGACCAGAAGACAACTGATGATCTGTCGGGCCTGAAACTGGCATTCAACAAGGTCAACAAGAAGGCAGATGGAATCCTGGCAAACGTCTCTGAATGGATGCAACAGGTAAGAAGATAATGATCACGTTTCTCTTAAAAAAAAAACTGAAAAAATCATTGAAACCTTTCAAGCAATTTGTGGGGTTGACAAATTTCTATTGAAAAAGTAACTGTTAATGTCAAAATTCCCAGGCTGCAGTGACATGTTACCGTTGGTTGGCATGGTATTTTGACCTATTACAAACAAGTGACGCATTTATATATGATAGTGAACGTTATCCATGCATTGCTTCCAACCATTTTGAAACTTAATTAACATTTGATTTACAGGCAATGGAAAAGGACGTGTCGGAAAGGCTGGTTGGAAGTGAGAAAGCTCTGACCCACCTATCAGGTAGGAAACTTTAAGGCGTGATTTTCTTTGTCATGTTTCCATCCCTTTGCCGAGTACATCAGTCTTTTGGTGAAAGTCGATAACTTTCCAATAAGTCATGAAAAGGCCATTTGGGCTGGGAGGGCTGTAGTTGCAAGACACAACAATAAACTTTCATTCCTTCATTCTTTCATTCATTCGTTAATTTATTAGTTCGTTTATAGATAAATAGAACTGGACGCAAATTATATCCCAAGAAAAATTAATTTTTGCTTAGGATAAGTATGAAGGGGTAGAGAATGGTATGGCTCAGAGTTATTAGGGAAATGTACAAATTGTGCATGTGTGTTAATTTATAGTATAGAGTTCAGCATACATATTGGGCATACACGGAAGTCTAGCTTGTGATGATAATATAATCATTATCTTCCGAAATTGCATAAAACTGGCCGTCTAAATGAGCATTAAATTGTGATACTGTTCATACGTATAGTGGATCACTTAAAGATAATAGAATTACGTTCAAAGACAGTAACAAAATGCATGTACAGTTCTAATGGTGTAGGATTTGTATTATTGAAAACAATATGTCAAAACCTTGTTTTTTTATCAGGGACATGCCCGGGCAGTTACAAGAAATACCATGAAGTCTGCTACAAGGCATTTTACATTCGGAAGTCATTCTCCGAATCGGCCGAGACCTGTCGGGCTGACGGAGGCACCCTCGCCATGCCCCGCGACGCCGGTACCGACGACTTCCTCGTCTCCCTGGTGAAACCGGCATTCGACTTCAGCTATTGGATCGGCTTACACCAACAGGAAGACAGCTGGGAGTGGATAGACGGCACCGCTCTCGGGACCGGCTACAACCGGTGGGGCGACAATGAACCGAACGACGTTAGGTATAGGGGAGATCGGTGCGTCTTGTGGTTCAAAGGAAAGGTTTGGTATACTTGGTCCTGTGACAGGAGGGTGCGCTTCATCTGTCAAGTCCCACCGGCAGGTTCGTTTTATTTCACAAGGTTATACCTAAGTTTTTTTCTTATTGTTATTTCGTTTGTTTTAGGAATAATTTGTATTAATTTTATTCGCACAGTTATTAAAAATAAGTTAAAAGGGTAATTAACAAATTACATAAAATGAATTACACACAACCAATTGTAAATGACATAAAAACAGGAAGATAATACAAAATATTTTATAGACATACTGAGTAGACAGCTTGCTACGAAGGATATGAAACCAGTTGTCCTTAAGTCTATTGTAGACAAATTACTTTCTTTGCACTGACTTTACTCAGAGAATATTTCGTATCAAATAATAAATCTTGATAAACTTCCTCATTACTCCTCCCTTGTTCCATCATCATGTCGGTGAACATAGCCAAACAGGTAACGAGGCAAGGACAAGTGAGATGGAGAAGTATTGTTTCGCAAACTAAAGGCAAATAAACAGAAAAAAAGCTGAGAAATTACCAATAAAAGTTATTCACGAACCCAAACTTTTGATTTTATCTTCCCTTCAGCTAAATCAGACAAATAACCGGACGCCCATATATTAGGAAGCGGCCCCGGCTACAGTCGTGAAACATGGGTTCCGACATCCGGATGCGAAGACGACTTAGATGTGGCTGAAACGCCACATGTAGAATCAGCCAACAAGCTGAGACAGGTTTATTTTGAATATTGGAAACCCCCAACCACAGACGAGAAGACCGGGTAGCCATGGTCGGCTGTGTGGCAGGGGCTTAGAGAGCATAGAGGCAAAACATTAAGACACTTGAAAAACACAAATATTGAGTATGATGCACAAAGATGCTTATCTAAGGAAATGAGCTGTGAGCTGCGATCATTTAGAAATTATTTTGGTGTAGTAGATCTTAATTTTAAAGATTTCATCAAAACAGGTGCAAACTTGAATTTGTGTAAGCGTATCCAGACAAATACAAGAAATAGAGAAGACAAATAAACATGACCTTTGACAAAAGCGAATGTACGACAGTCTTGTAAACTTAATTGGTCTGCACGTCACGCGAGCGGCTGCTTGGTACAAATGTGAGGGAAATAAAAGCCTCCGAGCGGCTCAAAGTTGGAGTTCTTTGCGTCGACGTCTTTCTTACAAAACCCCGTCTGTCTAGATCTCTGTTGATGTAATCCACGATATCCATGTAATCTTTTTGAACATGAAACCATAGGATCAATGAAGGCGTAGAACATAGAAAAAAGGCATAAGTTCTGTTGAACGTTTGAAACGCTACATTTCGGGTAAACAAGTTGGTGGCGAGAAGACGGCTACCTGCGCTGCGATGGAGGAAAACGTCTACAAGGAGGCCTGTAACGTCTACAGCACCTGCAGCGATGATGCCAGCAACGTATACGAGGAACCCTGCACGCTCTCTCCACCGACAGTTTCGGCTGTGAGGAGGGCTCCTGGCCTGAACCCCGCACCGGGAGCCTCAGTCGTATCTGGAGAGACAGGTAAAGTTCTCTGCAGTAGTCCAGAAGCAAATAGGATTTGATAATTGCTGGCACCAGAGACACTGAGAGGCCAGGTTTGCTTGAAACGCCGCAATGTGTTTTTTCCACTTTTCTAAATCTAGAGTGCTTGGCGTTAGAAACCTGACCATACTGTTCATTGTTATCCTCTCGTTTTGATCTTTAATCTCTGTCCGGGCGACAGTCTCGATATTTCTCTACATAAACCCATGATACTGACTACATCCTTCAGGTTCGTCCGGGCCTAAGTCTAACGACAAGCGCCAAGCCGCCGACCCCGGACCTGCCTCTGCTGAGATCGCTGGGTACATCCCAGGGGTCGGTATGAGGAGCCCTGGTACTGGTCAGTCCCGAGTCTGGACCAGCGCCACGTCGAAAACCTACGCTGTGGTGACCACCGTTCTGATCTGCTGTCTGCTGGGAGTTACCATCTTTCTAGGTGATGTTTCAATTTTTACAAACCTTTTCCATACGTAGATAATGATACAGGCAAAAAAATTACCGGTTCGTTTTCCTCCATATCATGGAACCCTCGTGCCTTCACGCAGTTGTTACTGTGTCGAACCTGAAGCTGTCATTCAACAAGCTGGACAAGAAGACAACTGATGATTTGTCGGATCTGAAGATGTCAGTCAGCAAGCTAGACAAGAAGACAGCCGGAATCCAGGCAAACGTCTCAGGGTGGATGCTACACCAACAGGTGTGAAGAAGATTCTATTCATTAAACAGCTTCATAACATAGATGGAAGGTTTAAAGGATCTTGGAGGATTGACAATTTTTATCGATATGTTAACGAATTTGAATCGTTGGTATGGTAATGTGACTTATCAAAATTAAGGAATTCAAATGACATTGCTTCAATCCATTTTGAAACATGATTTTCAAGCAAGGTATTTGATTTACAGGCAATGGGGCAAACAGAAAACGTGCCGGAAAGGCTGGTTGGAAGTGAGAAAGCTCTGTACAACGCTACGTCCAACATCACTGGTAGGAAATTTTCGGTCATAATATGATCACTGGAATTTTCTTAGTCCCATGTCCATACCTCTGCCGAATGTATCATTCACTTGCGACCATGATTTTGCCTCTGGGTCTTAACATATCATGATTTACGTTAATTTGAAAGGTATGTCAATATATATATATCTTTCATATCATATTTTTTAGCGAAATGTCCCAACGGTTACAAGAAGTATCTTGAATTTTGCTACAAATGCTTTGACGCCAAGAAGACGTTCTCCGAATCGGCCGAGACCTGTCGGGCTGACGGAGGCACCCTCGCCATGCCCCGCGACGAGGGCATCAACGACTTCCTCGTCTCTCTAGATGAGATTGGCCGCCGTTGGTTCGGCCTGCACCGACAGGAAGACAAGTGGGAGTGGATAGACGGCACCGCTCTGGGGACCGGCTACAGCGGTTGGGGAGAAGGAGCTAGTGAACGTTCTATGGAATCGGGACGTTGCGCTATGTACATGCTCAAGATGTGGTTTGGCCATGTTTGTGACACCAAGGCACGTTCCATTTGTCAAGTGAAAGCATCAGGTTCGTTCTATTTTACAAGCTTAAGCCTTTGATGCTTTGTTTTACTCTCCAAGCAGAGGTTGTGGGGGAATGATCGTTAGCTTTTTATAAGGGCCAATGCTCTAGAACACGCTTATTTTGTAAAAGCGCGCTTTTGACGCGGGGCGCTTCCGCCGTGAAAACACCCTTTACGTTTGCGCGCGTAGTAAAAACATGGCTCGGTGTTTCCTTTTGAAGTTTGGCATGCTAAAGGACAAGGCTTTGACGAGTCCGACCGTGTTCAAAATTTTTGTTAGAGATGAATAAAAGTTGTAGTAGTTGTGCGTTGAAATCTGCTAATTTTACGGCCATGTTTGTACGGTTGCTTTCGGCAGATAGGATTGATGATCCCTCTTGAAACTGTGTGTGCTGATTCCCTAAAATCTGAGCTTTAATTTGATATATAGATTGATACCGTTTTTAATGGGAGAGAGCGCAGAACCAAAATAGACGAGATGAACACCATTCAAACCGCAGCGCCCTTTGTGTTCCATGGTGGAACGCGGTCGTTCAGCAGCAACCGTGCGCCACATGTACTGTTAGTATCGCTGTAGTAGACAAGTTAAACCATGGTTAAACGTAAAATCCTCGGTATAACAAGTCTAGGCTTCATCACTACATATGTCTACTGTTTCACAAAATGTTTATGACTGGCCGCACCGACGTGAATGAAGTGAAGGTGACCCAAGGAACGAATCGCATTATACGTCCATCTGACATTGAACCTTTCATGGCTATGCTGTTTAAACTAAAATATATGTTTCAAACATACGTTGGTGACAGATACGGAGAAGGAAGGTACCAATGTGAGTTAACCGTGGTGTATAGGGACATGTATAAGGACGATTAGAATGCCAACATTCAATACAGTATGTCGTCTGATTGCTCTCAGCCGTCTTATAATTGCGTCGGGGCTGTAGACTGCGTTGGACTTTAAAATGCGTCGGACCTTATAATTGCGTCGGGGCGTACAAACGCGTGAGGCCTTACAAACCCGTCGGAGGTCTTTCAATGCGTCGGACCGTAGACTGCGACGATGATTAAGTCCTTATCTAAACCTGCGACGAGGATTAACCCTTTTCACACCTAGTTAACACCGAGATGTGTATTCAATACAATCTGTTAGTCTACAGACTTCTAGATTTTCTGAACTTTCAAAAAAAATGTACCGGTTACTATTGAATTTAAAAACACAATGTATGTAGCAGATGAAGTAGATTGAAGCTTTGTTAAACTTTGTTACAAATTCTTTGCATCAAATGAATTTGACATTGTGTATATTTTCTCATCTTCACACACACACGCACACACACACACACACACACACATTTCATGTTCTTATTCACTTTTTACTTCCTTCACTTTAATAGATTTGAGTTTTATGAACTGAAGATTAAAAAATGGCCCCAAAACTATATGGAGATATGTAACGTGTATAAGAATTGGGCCTGTTATATGACATTTTTTCCTGACATTTTGTTTGTTTTCTTCAGCTATAACTTAGGTCTGTGCCAGTATAGTGGTATTTGCCATGTAGGTTGGTTTATATCTCTTACTAGACTAATCTGTGTATTGGTTGGTCGAAGGTAATGTATTTGTAAATCTGTGTGTAAAATTTTTGTCAAAAAAAGACTGATACAAAAAATACTGGGGGGGGGGTTCTGTGTCATTTATGTAATAAGGAATTAGACCTATTGTATCTATATAGGGGACAATGTACTATGTAAAAAAAAGCACTGAGTAAGACCCTTTTTTTAGTAATAGAAAGAGAGAGACGTTAGAGAGTACAAATGTACTGTAGAAGATAGTAGAATTCGGCAAAAATAGGGTCTGGCTAGCCAGGGGATTCATCTCAGTGTAGGAAGGCAAATAAATGCTATGGTGGCTACTTGCAGTACTAGTAATCTCCCTATTTGTATTGTGGAGACTACAATTTGTGGGGGTTATAGGCATTGTGGTTTGGGCACTAACAAATTACCCTTCGCTATTTTCTAGGTGTTGGGTAACCTCCAAGCAGACCTCTTCAGGGGTAAAACGCTATGATGGCCAGGCCATGGTAGCAAGTTGGCCTGTTGTATAAGGAACACCAACCGAGTGTCTTGCTTGGAGATTAGGTGTAGGGTAGGGCAACAGCTTCTGAATAGGGTAATCACAAAGAGGAAAGGGTAGGGCAACAGGTACTGAAGAGGGTAACCACAAAGAGGAAAGGGTAAGGCAACAGGTACTGAAGAGGGTAACCACAAAGGAAATGAAGATGGGCAACAGGCCAGATCACATTGGAAGGCATGTATAGTACATCTGGGAGGGGCAATCTCACTTGTCTCAAGCATTGTTAATGACCTTTGTGGCTAAGTGTAAATCTACCATTGCCATTTCAAGACAACACAACAAAATTCCGTTTAATGGTCTTTATTCGGAAATCAGCAAAGAATGTCTTGCTCCTCAAGGTTGAAAAGTTGAGGTTCAACTCGAAAAACAGCTCCTGTCAAAATGGATTCAAATGCATGCTCAGCATTGCCAAGGTGGTTTGATTCACCCTCCTTGTTATTGCTAGCAAAACCCTGGTCTTTCTAACAAGGTATTCATATAACATAACCTCACAGTCACAACAAGGCTTGGAATACACATATCAGGCCCATGTATATGGCAGTGAGTAAACTTAACATTACAAAAACTTACAGCAGCATATATACTTGTAAATGGACTGTAATCTTAATCATTTATTTACTAGAGAATCTACGTTATAACATCTAGTAACCAAAATATGCTATATAAACTCTGGGTGTGTCCCCTTTATCGTATTCCATGCCTAAGACCTTCTGTTCTTTGACAAGGAAATACGAAGATCGCATCACCCCAGGTACAGTGAAGGGTACTTGGAGCCAGCCAAGTCCACAATCCTGCACCTATACATATCTTATGTCTCACCTATATGTAATCTTAAGTCTACATTCATCCAAAGCTTCCTCGCACAACCTTAATTAAGAGCTGTATGAACAGGAGGAGCACTGTCACTGATGTGACCAATCCACTTACAGAATGCACCATTACAACTCGTTCACTTGTTTGTTTTGCATGAAGTGCCAGCTTCATATTTAACAAGTAACTGAAATGGTCGCTCAACTGTTGCCAACGTAACAAAACAAAACAAATCTAAACAAAAACTTGTAAAACATACAACAAAAGGTCAGTCTGCGTATCATACCTGGAAGCTTTACCGCCCTCGGAGCTTAGCTTTCCACAGAGACCTGCCATGTGATATTGCATTTGCGTTGGCAGTTTGGCCACTAATTTTTTAAACATTTTAAATTATCTCAATGCTGTACACTGACAACTATGTCAAGACATCACATGAGTTTTTAACACTATTTTGGCAGTTTGCACTCTTAGCTGCCTTTTTCACTTGTCCGTTCATGGACCAGAGCACTAGGGTATATTGCAAGTATCAAATCATCAATGCTTGGCTACAGCAAGTTACCAAAGAAGCTTACGTCTCAGTCAGACAATATTTTGTCTTATCACTTTTCAGCTGCCACTCTTTAGCACTTCCTTCGTAATCTAACCTGAGCATGTCATGACCAATCTCAACTTCGCTGATTCAACACTGTCCAATCACAGCCTTTCACATTGACCTATCACAGACTCTTACATAACTCGAACACAAGTCTTTCACATTGTCCAATCAACAACTGCCTTTTAGACTGTCCGAACAGTGTCTTTCAGACTGTCCAACCAGTGTATTTTCCCAAAGAACCTTGTTACCGAGGATACTCTATGACTTCACTTCTCTTGTGGCTGAGGCGGTACAACTTCTTCTTGACCAGCTTGTAGCCAGAGCTCAGTGTGACTGTTTTCTGTCCGGAGCACCCAGAGAAAGGGAGGAGCGCCTGTAGGGAGTTCAGCCACGCGGCACGGTCTCTTCTCAGGGTCAGCGTAAGCTCGAACGTGTTCACAGTGTCTGGGTCGTAGTTCACCCGACCGAATTGTGTCTGTCCACATCAGTAGCCATTCATGCAGGTCGGGGGGGGGGGGTCTCATCCTACAGTTCCTGTCATAGAAGTACATAAAGTATGGCATTCAATTGAATTGTCGACAATACCTGCATGTTTGTAGACAAGTTTCTGTGTGGATTATGCAATCTAATCATTGCCTAAGTTGTCATGAGGTGACAAAAAGAACAACCAATGATGAAAACCAATAATGATTATAAAGATTATAAAAATGCCTGATAACAAAGCCTTATGAGGATAAAAAAAAACAGTTTCTAACCTCAGTCATTGTCACTTTCTGTGTCTGATCTCCAATCTGCGTCAAGATCAATGGAGACACTTTCCTCCTCCTCCTCCTCCTCCTCCTCATCATCATCATCAGTAAGGTCATTCATGATCATCTGTTGGTGGACACACAAAAAAGATGACGGTTAATTTATATGGCAATGTAAGGTAGCTTCATTACATTCATTCAGAGATGAAACAATGAAAAACATTATCATCATTCTAACTGGGGGTGAACCTAAAAAAAGTATGTCAGACAATACAATGAAAGTAAGTTTGCCGTTTAAAGGTTGAACAGCCCATAAACTAAGAAGATTGAAATTTGATTCATCCTAAAATCATAGTCTACCAGAAAACAAAGGTATTGAAAATCTGATGCCAATTAAGGCTCTGATGTCATTTTCATATGTAACACTTTTGGTATCAAATTAATGCAAAACTGTTTGGTAAACAGGTAGGAAAACACCATAACCTAGACATACTTCAATTCTTATGAACACATGAACATATAGACAACAATGTAAAATGCAATGTCACTGTTATATGCATAAATGTTTCATGCTGTAAACAATGCTGTAAACAAAACTGTAATCATGGTAAAAGGGAATGTTTGAAAAACACAACATTGACAAATGCTGTCTCAATGAAACATGTGTATGCAGGTATCTCTGCCTTACGGCATTATTCACTGTTTCCTCCTCAAGCTCCTGCTCCATTAATGTAGAATCGTGTCCTGGGTGCTCACTCCCGCCTACTTCCCCACGGTTCTGACAGCCATAGCACCTGCAGCTCTCTCCGCACATCTTGCCCTTCTTCCGACAGGTGCGACACCTATTGTCCACACATCCCCCCCGGCATTTGCAGCCGGGGGCAGACAGTCTTCCAATTCTTTCCCTGACCTTCAACATGTTTTCTTCGGTTTCCCACTGGACTGCTATCCCTGTTTCGGTGAGGTACCACCCATACTCTTCAACATTTCCAATATGAAGAGTGGGGCTGCCTGCTGATGTCCACAACCTCCACACCCACATGCAGCGCTTCCAGTGAAACTTAAGTGCATCCTCGGAGGGTAGTAACTCGTGTTCATATCTTGCTGTTTCAAATGTAGCCTCACGGATTCTGTTCAGGAACAAGCTGTGTACATTTTCATCACTAGTTGAACTTTCCACCAAAGAGTTGAAAAGATGTTGTGGAGTTTCGTAGCCAGGCAGGAAAGCAGCCTTACAGGACTTGTAATACAAACAACCAATGAGCCTGAAGAAGGCTAGGATGCCCTTGGGGTCTTCCTCTGTGTCAAGCAGGCTTCCTCTGTGTGTTCTGTGTCCAGTTATGAACTCACAGTGCTCCAGAAGTGTAGTTATGAAGCTGATTTTACCTTTCATTCGGAAAAAACTTGTATAGTCACATCCAGACAATATAAACAGCAGAACAAACAGATGAGGCCTCTCTTCTTCAGGGTGAGTTGTAAGGGAGGGGTCACTGCTAATCCTCGCTCTTAGGTTGTTGATGTTAACGAACTTAGACTCCTCTCCCCAATGTGACTGGACTATTACGTCTTTCGTAAGTGGCATAGCCAATCCGATGTGGATTACGTCAGTGTCCTTTGACAGCACGAGGCACTTCTGAGAGGTTGACCAGTTGGTGTGGAGGAAGATTCTGGTGTCCGCTTCGGGATCATCTCTTTGCAATGCCTTCTCCTCGAAGACTTCTCCGTTCTGTACAAGAAATGCTTTGCCGTCTGCAAAACACCCACTGACAATTACTTTCTTACCGGCATCTTCTTTTGCGTATTCTTGTGCGATCTTCAACAGGGCATGGCCTAGGTATTTCACCAAACTGTTCCTGTTTTGGCGCAATGCCATGAACTCCTGCCAATTCCTGGGCACCTCCTTGTCATGTGTCAGTGTGGGTACTGTTGTGGGCATTGATGCTGTTGGGTCACCAACATGTTGCTCATCCTGGGAGTCTCGCCGCTGTCGCTCCAAATCCTTTGGTATAGGCATGTCATATTCTGGTCTGTCAAACAGAATGTGGCACTCATGTACTCCCCGCCAGAAAAATGGCATCACCATGTTGATGTATAAACTCTTGGCATATTGCAGAAAGGTCTTGTTCCATGGGAATGGTTTCCTGAACATAATATTCATGCCCTCAATGATGACACAGTCAGGGCTCCAACCAACTGGTAGTCTGTCAGTAATGATATCTGTGTATCGCCGTTCATAGAACTTTGTGGCATTTGCCTTGTTTCCTTTATATGGCAATCCAGTTTCCTCACATACTAGAGAGCTGGGAATCTCAGAACAGGGTCCCAGGTCCTCTATGCTCACTGGCCTTCCCTTCCTCTTTGACTCCAGAAGCAGATTCTTGTAGAAAGAGAGAACTTTTCTGGTGTGTTTCTCCATACGTTTTACTTTGCTGCAGGAAGTCTTCCGTTTGGAAAAAGTGTGCAACCTTTGTTTCCGTTGTGTGGGCTTTGCTGAAGGCTTGTTGAGAATTTTTGTCTCAACATGATGCTTGAATAGCTCAGAGCCTATCTGTCTATATGACATCATATCATGCTGTTGGACATTGCTGGCTTCCTCACCAGAGAACATGTGTATCAGTTGACGCGATTGAACTTTGTCAAATGGTTTTGCTCTGCTTGTACGTGCCTTGCTGTAGTATTTCACTACTTGCTTCATATCCTCTTGCAGTGCTTTGTTCGCATAGGCCTTCTGCGACATGGGGCATGCTTCCATATGCAATTGTGATAGCAAATTCTTTAGCACAGAGGCTCTCACCGGCAGAAACTTTACTAGTCTGCCTACTCGCTGTGGATGTACTCCTTGCATCACAGCTTTCACATCTTTGTTGATTGTCATCTCGTGACATTCGTCAAGGCCTAGGTTCGACATGTTGTGTCCTCCAATGTTGGCAGTAAACCCTCCCTTTCCAAAAGCTGTCAGCATATGAGCTGGAAGCCTGGCAATATCCTCCAAGTGCTTAGGTAGCAACTTTGCATACATGTGCCTGTCAAATGCAAACATCAAGGGCACAAGTTCCTTAATGGCATGACATCTGAGTGACCAGTCGCCTTTCCGTATGGACAGGAACAAGTTGGCATATGTCATCATCTCCTGGTGTATGAATCTGTCCCAGAATCTGAAGGTGTCGTCCTTCTCTGCTGCCTCTTTTCGCCATGACTGGAACTCCTGTGCAAGTGGTTTGAGCCGTGAGACAAGGGATGCTTGTTCTACCAGGAAACTTGTTGCAGAGATGCCCTCAAAGCGTCTTCCTTCATATCCATTCAGGGTGTCTAATACATTACATACTTCTTGTAGTACATCATCCATGTTGTCTTGGCTTTTTACAAAAGAATCAAGCTGTAGGTGAAACATTGCCTCCCAGGCATTCATAAGGAAGTTATGAGTTCCTCTGAAACTCTTGCAGAGGCCAATCGATGTTGCACACATTCCTGTGCCATGTGTCTCCTGCGCCAGCTCCTTCAGCCCGCTGTCCCAAAAAATCTTCATCATCACCTCTTGTGTATTCTTGAGCACATGCCAGTCTCCTATGTAGAAGTAAGCCCAATTGAACTCTGAAGGATATTTCTTCTTCACTTTCCATAGGAGATCATATGTCTTGCCATCTCCAACTAGAATCAGACTTTTCCTTTTGTCTGGAATCTCCATGTTTGTTGCTATTTGATGTAGTACATGCATCATGGTGTCTTCATTATCACATGGCAAATCAAATATGTCAAGAAACTGTATACTGGATTGATGGACATCCTGGTTACCTTCCATGGCAAGCTTGGCCTTCAGACTGGGAATGGTGGTGTTGAGGTTATATTCCCTTTGGCAGTACCTCTCTACCATGTATACAAATATATCCTCTGCGCATCTACTTGCTGCATTCACCTCTTCTAGGTTGGTTGTGAAGTCAGAGTAAGACACCGATTCCTGTCTAATAGCAATTGGCAAGGATGCATCTTGATATTGAGATTGATCCAAGGAAGACCCTCTCACATCAAAGGACAGTCTCCTGCGAGGTTTTTTAACTGAAGATATGGTTGTTCTAAAACCTTTCTTATCTGGCACAGTCCAGGGGGTTTCAGTGGTACTTGACTCAACTGCTTGGTTGTCCATCACAACATCAGTGGTACTGGTACTTGACTTGGCTTGATTGCCCATCACATCAGTGGTACTTGACTTGGCTTGGTTGCCCATCACATCAGTGGTACTTAACTTGGCTTGATTGCCCATCACAACATCAGTGGTACTTGACTTGGCTTGATTGCCCATCACATCAGTGGTACTTGACTTGGCTTGGTTGCCCATCACATCAGTGGTACTTGACTTGGCTTGATTGCCCATCACAACATCAGTGGTACTTGACTTGGCTTGATTGCCCATCACACCAGTGGTACTTGACTTGACTTGATTGCCCATCACATCAGTGGTACTTGACTTGGCTTGATTGCCCATCACAACAGTGGTACTTGACTTGGCTTGGTTGCCCATCACATCAGTGGTACTTGACTTGGCTTGATTGCCCATCACACCAGTGGTACTTGACTTGGCTTGATTGCCCATCACATCAGTGGTACTTGACTTGGCTTGATTGCCCATCACATCAGTGGTACTTGACTTGGCTTGATTGCCCATCACATCAGTGGTACTTGACTTGGCTTGATTGCCCATCACATCAGTGGTACTTGACTTGGCTTGATTGCCCATCACATCAGTGGTACTTGACTTGGCTTGATTGCCCATCACATCAGTGGTACTTGACTTGGCTTGATTGCCCATCACATCAGTGGTACTTGACTTGGCTTGATTGCCCATCACATCAGTGGTACTTGACTTGGCTTGATTGCCCATCACATCAGTGGTACTTGACTTGGCTTGATTGCCCATCACAACATCAGTGGTACTTGACTCGGCTTGATTGCCCATCACATCAGTGGTACTTGACTTGGCTTGGTTGCCCATCACAACATCAGTGGTACTTGACTTGGCTTGATTGCCCATCACATCAGTGGTACTTGACTTGGCTTGGTTGCCCATCACAACATCAGTGGTACTTGACTCAACTGCTTGATTGTCCATCACAACATCAGTGGTACTTGACTTGGCTTGATTGCCCATCACACCAGTGGTACTTGACTTGACTTGATTGCCCATCACATCAGTGGTACTTGACTTGGCTTGATTGCCCATCACAACATCAGTGGTACTTGACTTGGCTTGATTGCCCATCACACAGTGGTACTTGACTTGGCTTGATTGCCCATCACATCAGTGGTACTTGACTTGGCTTGATTGCCCATCACATCAGTGGTACTTGACTTGGCTTGATTGCCCATCACATCAGTGGTACTTGACTTGGCTTGATTGCCCATCACACATCAGTGGTACTTGACTTGGCTTGATTGCCCATCACATCAGTGGTACTTGACTTGGTTTGGTTGCCCATCACAACATCAGTGGTACTTGACTCAACTGCTTGGTTGTCCATCACAACATCAGTGGTACTTGACTTGGCTTGATTGCCCATCACAACATCAGTGGTACTTGACTTGGCTTGATTGCCCATCACATCAGTGGTACTTGACTTGGCTTGATTGCCCATCACATCAGTGGTACTTGACTCAACTGCTTGGTTGCCCATCACAACATCAGTGGTACTGGTACTTGACTTGGCTTGATTGCCCTCACATCAGTGGTACTTGACTCACTGCTTGGTTGCCCATCACACATCAGTGGTACTTGACTCAACTGCTTGGTTGCCCATCACAACATCAGTGGTACTTGACTCATCTTCTTGGACGCATGCCACAGCATGAGTGGTCTCCAGCATTCCAGAAGTATGTCCAAACTCCAACAAATTGACTGGGTCTGGCTGGACGGCCATCACTGATGTCCCATGCCAAGTTCTTTCAACACCTTCGCGTACTGATGCATGTCTTTGGGCCTTGTCAATATTGTCAACAGTAATAACTGTAAATTTGTTGTCAGATAGCTCAGAAAGGTACCCTTTTCGGTCTTGTTGGCAGATGGCATTTTCCATGAATCTTTCATGTGTTTCAGGTGATGCACAGTAGCCCATGTGATTCATTATGCTCATTAGCTTCTTTGACCCCGAGAATGCACTTACCACATCTGACACAAGTACTTGCCATGGGTAGCTAGACCTTGGGTTGGATACGTATAACAACTGCAGCAGTAAAACCAGTCTCCTGGTATGTCTTACTGTAGAGTTCACTGATTCATCTTGGAGGCAAGCATAGGGCACATCCCAGTTGAAATCATTGCTTGCGAGATCAGCCAATTCCTTCTTATTCATAGTAAGGATATGAACTAGATTGTAGAGTTGAGGAGGTACATCCTTCACAATGTCGTCTAACTTCATTTGCTTTAGCTTTGAGGGGTCTTGAACAAATTTTTCACCAAACGATGCTGCTGTACTTTGCACCATTGCATTCATTTCAAGGGCAATGTGGTGAAATTGGGCCTTTGTTGTTTCTGTGCCAAGGTGGGACTCCTTACCAGGCATCTGAGTTTGTGCTGAACGTAGATCTTCCTTCTCCTTGCAGTGCCTCATCTTCTGTACTCTCGCATCGTGCAGCGCACTATGCAGCATTCGAACTACCTCTCCTTTACGAAACATGAGCAATATGCTCATTTTTGAACTTTCTGTTCTGAATGTCACCAAAGATGTTCCAAACACACATTTTAAGTGTGAAAGTAACCACTGAGAATTCATCTTGCCCTTGTCTTTGTCCTCATTATTCAGATCATTAATTCTCTCCAAGTGCACAAGAAAGCTTTCATATGCATCACACAACAGCAATGCCTTGTTTTGAAGGAAAAGATTCCCTACTTCAATGCAGACCTTCCTGGCTGCAATTGTGACTGCATGTTGTTGTTTTGCATTTTGGTCAGATGTCAGTTGCTCAATGATTACAGAAAGTGGCACAGTGTTTGAATGTGCTTGTCTTGATACATAGCAGTAGCATGTATTACATAAGATGCTAGTGGAGGAAAGGCTCTTCAATCTAACATCACTTTCACTCAGCAGACTGATTTCAGTATCCAGCCCATCACAGCTGCGAGCCTTGGTTCTGTCACTGCGAAGTGAGCATTTGCACAGAGAGCATCGTGTTGTGCGTTCTGTGAAGTAAAGCTCTTTGAAGTGAACTTCACAAAGATAAATCTCATCCTCCTTGATTGCTTGTGTCTTAAGTACAGAAGTTAAGACATCTTTGTTGTTGAGGTCGGTAACAGAAAATACACGTGTTGAACAGTTATCACACTGTGGTGCAGCACATTGTCTCCTTGGTTTTTTCTGACTTCTTATTGGGGTGTATGATTCATCGATGTTTTTGCGGAAAAAGACACACTTGCACTTGTTGCACAGACAAGACTCCAATGACAAATGATGTTTGGTTAAGATTTCCTGTATTGACTTGTCCCAGTTAGTGGCGTGGTGAATATGATCCTGGTCTAACATACAATTGCAGCAATGACAGACAGAACTACATGGACCGACATGGGGAACACATTTTGGACGAGGCATGATAAGGAATGGTATGTTGGATACATACCTTATGGCAGGGGGCAGTCTGTGGCAGTCTGAACTCTGATCATCAGCTATTCTGCAAAGGTACAATCCCAGATTAGTCCCCTACCAATGGATCCCTTTTTTATGTTAGTAACCATCCCTATTATCAAACCCCTACCTACATATACAATTTATATTAAAAAGCCAGTACGTCTCAGGTAGTAAAGAGATATCAACTTACAATAAGCCCTTTAATTATGTCAAATATAGTATTAGTAAACAGTGTTGTGTTATAAAGAAAAGTAGAACATTGACTTTTACCCACCAAAGATGCCTTCCACTCTTGACACTTGAACTGATAGAAAACAGTAACATCACGAGATATGATATAAAAAATGTGATGAACCAAGAATTATAGAATAAGTATATGTTCACAATTTTATTGTACTGTAATTGCAAAAAAGTCAACATTTAGAAATGGAGTAAAAGCCGTAAACTTATAAACATCTAGTGCATAGGCAGGTCACAAACTTAAGTACTAACCTAAGTTAACAGTCATGTGGTGCTTAGTCATAATAAATCTGCCCGTGCTGCCAACTGCTCGGTGCATCTGGAAACAAAATTCTTGAAATTAATCACAAGAAATAAGGTCTACTCGTAAATAGAACCTGCCTTCGAAAAAAGAACTGGGTGATTTCTACCTACGTCTGTGCTCAGAAAATCACTACCTGTTTGTCAACAATTACCTAACACCCCGTTTATGATCCCAAACGAAACTTTCTGTGCTTTTTCTACAACAGTTGTCCTCTACTTTCGTACCACAATTGGATGCCGAAAAGATGGGTGAAAGCGCAGAACCAAAATAGAAGTCAGTGTCCCCCAAACACCCCCCAAATCACACCGAAAAGTTCAAGACGTCATAAGAAGTAAACTATCGGTAGATGAGCCGAAAAAAACATGTCAAATTGATCCTTATCTTTCCGTCAGCACGACTGCACCGCCATAACCGGCTTTGTTTTGATTATATCTGGGGTGAAAGGGTAAAAGTCGGAGGCTAACCTGTGCTTCTCGTTCACGCACCACCGCCGTTCTCGGTCCCAGAGTAGTCTGCCTGGTTTTAGAAAAACCCGGAAGTGGAATCGAATATTCGATGCTTGGCCCTTCGACTGTATGGCGTTTTTTTTATCGCTACCGCCCCCACCAACCGTCGGTGGCCGGCGACCTTCTCTGTCTAATGGATACTGCTTTGCCACCGCCGAAAGGGATCTGCTTGGAGATTAGCTTTGCTTCAGGGGCAATGCAGTCATGTAAAGTTGCATTGACAGCTATATATGATCATATATACAAGTATACAAAATCATTGGCATGTGCCCTTCACTTTTAAATAGTACTTAACTAACACACACTTTGATCTGCTAACAGTTTGTATTGAATAATATAATGATACAGAAATTCCTTGATAGGTAAAATCATCCGCGACATTGGAAAACAGCAATTTAGATTCTAAAAATGCTGAATTACATGCTACATCAAAATAAGCAGAATTTGAGAAATTACTACGCTGTGGCGACCACTGTTCTGATCTGCTGTATGCTGGGAGTTACCATCTTTCATAAGTGAGGTTCCAATTAAAAAAAAACTCCGCTTGTAGGTAATGATACAGGCAAGAAATTACCGCTTCTCTTATCATCATAACATATGGTGCCCTTGTGCCTTTTTACAGTTTTGACTGTGTCGAACCTGAGGCTGTCACGCAACAAGCTCGACCAGAAGACAACCGGAATCAAGGCAAACGTCTCCGGAGGGATGCAACGGCAACAGGTGTGAAGAAGATTCTCTTCATTAAACAGATTCATAGAAGAAATCTTTGGAGGATTGACAATTTTCTATCAATATTTTAACAAATTCCCATGACTCATCACAACCAAGGAATGCTAATCTTAGTGAGCTACCTACAATTACGTTGCCTCAATTCATTCAGAAACATGGTTGTAAAGCATGTCATTTTATTTACAGGCAATGGGACGAACAGAAAACGTGTCGGAAAGGCTGGTTGGAAGTGAGAAAGATCTGCACAACGCTACGACCAACGTCACTGGTAGGAAACTGTCGGTCATGATATGATCACTGAAACGCTTTTCTTAGTCAGGCGTCCATTGACGAATGTATCATTCACTTGTGGCCAGTTAATACGCAAAGTAATCTCCAAGCAGATACTTTTCGGTGTCAAAAAGACATAATCAAATTCGCCAGGCAGTATCCATTAGCCAAAGAAGGTCGCCAGCCACCGACAGGTGGGATTAATGGCCATATATAAAAAGCTAACGATCATTCCCCTACAACCTCTGCTTGGAGAGTACATAAATGTACATTTTACAGTCATGACCTTATTGTCAGTGATATCAGAGGCCAGTTATATTAATACTTCACCCTTCATCTCTTTAGAGAAACAAGGCCAAGATTATTTTCCATCTGGGTCTACATATATCATAATTTACGTTTGAATTCTTAAGGGTATATCTAATTTTTTAGCTAAATGTCCCGACGGTTACGAGAACTTCGGGGAAATCTGCTACAAAGCCTTTGGCGACACCTGGAATACGTTCTCCGAATCGGTCGAGACCTGTCGGGCTGACGGAGGCACCCTCGCCATGCCCCGCGACGCCGGTATCAATGCCTTTCTCGTCTCCCTACATAAGGAAGGCCGCTATTGGTTCGGCTTACATCGACAAGAGGACAAGTGGGTGTGGATGGACGGCACCGCTCTGGGGACCGGCTATAACCGGTGGGCACCCCGTGAACCCTACATCTTAGCGGGGTCTTGCGCCATGTACGAGAAAGCTGACGACTGTTGGTATGCTTCACGTTGTGGCAAGACGGTGCACTTCATCTGCCAAGTGTCACCATCAGGTTCGTATCATTTCACTTGCTTGTTTCAGAAACACTGCACACATATCGAGTTGACAACTACACCAAGCTAAAGTATACGTTTGTTTTAGTAGCACTGACTTTGCTCAGTAATCATGTAGTATTGACTAAAACATCTTGATAAATTTTGTGTAAACCGATAAAAAGTTCAAATTCATTTTCCCTATAGCTGCTCCAGACAAGTAACAGTGCGCCATGCATGTAAGTGGCACCGGTTCCAGTTATGAAACGTGGGTTCCAGCATCCTGGTGTCAAGACGACTTAGATGTAGTATTATAAGTATTCAAAATAGACTTTTCTGTCCTCTAGTATGTTTTACATTTTCCCTTCAGTATTTCTGTAGTGTTTCTTCAGTATTATTAAAGTCATCTAAGGCACATTCAACTTTTCTCAAACACATCACTACCAAAAATCGAGAAACAGAAAATTTCACGTGGAACAGAGAAATTTATTGAATCGAACACACGAACAACAGTTTTCATCCATGGAAACTACCACCTATTTTGTACATGATCAGTTATGTTCTTGCCATCAAAACTTACTTACAGAAAATTCACAGACTAAAATTTTCGAGGCTTGGGTACACCAGACCCTGTATCGCCTCTGGAATCATTCACACTCACGGGTTGCTTGGCTAAAACCGAAGGACAATAAAACAAGGTAACAACTCTTTCAGGTAGACATCAAGGATAGCTGCAGGGTTGGCCATTATATATATGTATGTATGAGACAGACAAGGGTCATGCCTTGTATAATAGTGAATAATAATACGCTAGTTCACAGATTTATGTTTAACATTGCCATCATCCACTACAGTACAGCTTTATGCATTTCAAGTTGATGATACAGAAAGTTCTGGAGAGCAAAAGACAGTTAAGACAATTATGAACCCGTCGCTAAAAATACATCTCAATAAAGAAAAAAGGCAAAACTTACAAGACTACAATACTTCCTTACATCACAAGAACTGACAAACTCAAACTTGTGATACTTTTCCTCAAGTTTTGAGAATACAAAGAAACTTAACCTACCGTGTTTACGACATGAGCTTGACAAAAAAGCCAGAGTGGAAATTTTACAGTATTTCTTGGTCAAAGATTGTATCTACACTACATGAGCATGCAATTGTGCTGATGATGAGTGCCATCTGCTGATCTTTTCATGAATTGCAGCAGCGTACAAACTATGCACCTCTGTGGTTGTAGGATGATACTTCAGCTCAACGATTCGCCTCAACTGGAACAAAGAGGAGAAGTGATTAGAATGTTTCTAAACATTCTTTTAACTAAAAGCAAGAGGGAAAGGATATAAAAGTGTGCAGTAATTGTAGCTTGTGTCGGTTTTGAGAAATTTCTGTAAGCTTACATTCTTTTCCAACTGGAATTGAGAAAAATTAAAAGTATCGTGCACCCTACTTATTGTGTGTGATGTCAATAAACTTGAATCTAGATCTACAGGATCTATTTTCCCTATCCTCCTATATAACAGAAGTATGACTGATAATAAAAAAATAACTACAAGAAAAATCAGCAACTAGATTTAGCAGTCTTGAAAACATCCTGAATTCTGTTCAGACTTGGTGGTGGAAAAACGTCCGTTGCCTTGTGCAAGCCATGGAAGAACTGCACTGAAGTGATTTGATGTCCAAAATCAACAAATCACTCTAGTGCAATTCTACCACAACTGCTCTCCTGTCCTCCTTCCAGTGGCCACCTTGTTGGGAGCATCTCTCCAGGCAAGAGTAAGTTATTAGTGATTTCAGACTTCTGCAACTTTGGTTTTCGTTACTCGGTTATCTTCAACCTCATTTTCTATGACGTTCCATCTGTCATCCTGAATCCTGAATTCCTAATGAAAATTATTATGATACCAAATCCTAACTCTAAAAACAACTATTCAACAATAAAATCTTAACTGTATAATATGGACCTAATATGGAGTCTTTAACTATTCTTGCACCTGCTGTATTCGAGTCTAAAGCATTTCAATGCATTTACTTGATTCACATTCACACTTCTTAGCATGTGGGAAGAACATACTGTGCCTTACAAAAATCTGGATGTTTAAGTTATGTAGAACAGATATCATCCTTTAATATGACCTTAAGAGTGGTGTTCGATGTGCTATGTACAATACGTTACATGTTTCTCGCTGCCCATGTGCTATCCTACTTACTGTATGAGCTGATGTCGATCTCATCAGGAAGCTCTGACACGTTCACCTCGAACCGGTCCTGGACCTCATTCAGCACCTTGGCGTCGTTCTCGTCGCTAACAAACGTGATGGCCAGACCCTTCGTACCAAAACGGCCCGCACGCGCAACCTAGAAACAACAGCAAAACATCAACAAAGTTAACCATCCAACTCCAAAAGAAAACGTTCTGGTTGATAATAACCGTTGATTGGAAACATGGTGGCCAAACCCTTTTGCCATGTCCCACACACGCAAACTGGGAACAGCAAAGTTTTATAGTTTGCTTCACATAACTGGTCAACTGACTTCAGGCATAACAAGTTAGTTTTGTACAAAAGTACAAGCTGCACAAGACCAGACTGTAAGGTTTGAACCACTGCAGGAAAACACCTATTCTCTTTGAGAAGTACAGTGGGATAGTTAATGTCCTTGAGACGAGGCTTTCTTCAAATACCAAACTTCTGGCTTCATGTCCCATCTGACTGGGACTTATTTCTTCTTCTTCTTTTTGAGTACCCTCGAACAACCCCTGTACGGGGGGTATCACTGAGGGGGGGAAGCGGTACACGGGTTAAGGCAGGGCGGCTTCTACCCTGGCCTTAAAAGCCTCTACCGTCGGTGCCCTCACCACTGGGCCCGGCAGCTGATTCCACTCGCTTAACATACGGGGAAAAAAAAAGAAATTTCATTAAGAAAATTAAGAAAACGGAACTTACTCTGTGCAGGTACGTGTCGGAATCTTCGGGCATGTCGTAGTTGAAGACGATGTTGACGCGCTCGATGTCCATGCCTCGCCCGAACAAGTTAGTTGCCACCAGGATACGCCGCTCAAAGTTCTTGAACTGGTTGTACCGTTTCAGCCTGCATGGGGTTTTCGTAATACGTTACAGAGAATTCAAACTACATGGACTTAGGACAGCTTGCAATGCATAGTCCTGCCAATCTTCCAGGTCAAAAGAAGCCAAAAACTGACAGCCAGAATAGGATGCTCCTACATGGTATTGGATAGTCTCAACAAACTAAATCTGGGTAGACAGCCTAGCAGACCCACCCTCATTTTTTTTTTGTTTCACACCCCTGACACTTTTTAAGGCAAAGTTAAAGCAGAGAAAGCAGTCTATGCCAAGCTTTTGGTATGACAAACCACCTTTAAAGTTCAAGGCAAACACTCATTAGTTCACTGAACATGTACATCAGTAAGTAGTTCGTATTATAGAGCTCACCTCTCCTCCTGCCCCATGGCCCTGTGGATGGCGATGGCAGGGAAGTTCTGTTCCACCAGCAGCTGGGCCAGGGCGATGCAACGCTGCACAGACTTCACAAATATCACCACCTGGGGGGGGGGGAACAATCAGGACAAATAGTTAATCATCCAATCATAGCAGCATCTTGCTGATGATCTTTTGTTTATGATTGATTTGGCAAGCAGGTAACTGACTGTGAGTGTGATGATATTTGGATATGGGCCTCCTGTAACATGTGGAATAGTTTGTCCATAATCCCACAAGCCCGCCAAAAACTATCAAACACAGAGCTACTTTCCCACCTGGTTGAACTAAAATGTTAGCTACCAACACAGATTGAGAACATTGAAGCAGTCGAACAGCTTGTAGTCCTTTAGCTTGGTCTGACATTTTGACCTATCATTCTGCCCACCTTCCTGGACCTGTTATGTGTCTGGACAAGCATGTACACAAACCCAACCGAAACAGAGCGACTTCCCCACCTGGTTGAACTCGAGGACGTCGAGCAGGTCGAACAGCTTGCGGTTCTTCTCGTTGTCCTTGAGCTTGACGTAGTGCTGCTGGA